TCCTTAAAGAAACTGCTGCCGAAATTCAATTACTTTAAAACAACTATACAAAACTGTTGTAAAGCAATTGACACAGAAAAGGGTTTGCAATGGCTGATCACTGTAGCAGTTGTCCAATACACTACAACCCCCATTGATTTTAGTAATCCTTATTCGCAGGTGAATGCTTATGGTTTTGCAGTCTAAGCGAGACATTCTAAAAGCCATTGCAAAGCAACAAATTTTAAAATGTAAATGTATTTTTCCTCCCAGATGTATCTATTTTGATTGCAGCATTATTCCATCAATTGTCAGGGGATGTTGTTATAAATGCCAAACAAGCTCCACAACAGATTACATGCTTTTATCCTCATAACAGTGCAGTGAGTTAGACTGGGCTATCAGGCTGCAGAGAGTTTATGGCAACCATATGTCAGGGACACTACTCTGACATTCTTGCGTGGTGGGGTAATCCCACTCTCTTCTGCTTTGGTCAGACTTTATCTGGAATACAGTAGTCCCTTCCACACAGCTGTATAAAATCTATACTGAACTGGATTATATGGCACTGTGGACTCAGATAATCCAGTTCAAAGCAGATAATGTGGATTTTATACAGCTGTGTAGAAGTGGCCTCAGAGTGCAGTTGGGAGTTTCCTTCTAAGCAGAAGGAAACTCCTAAGAACCTTATAAGCAGAGGCTGGGTGGCCATTGATTGAGGATGATTTGATTTCATGTTTCTGCATAGCAGAATGGGGTTAGACTGGATGGTCCCTTCCAACTCTATGATTGTAACAGAGTTCATACCGTGTTCCTAGATCTGAGAAAGAGCTACATGATTTTGACCGGGTCTAGCATACCATGGGTCTCAACCCCAAATAGGGTTTCCTTCGCTCAATGTTGGGGCCATGAAAAATTTGGCAACAGTAAAACATTTCTGAATGCCACCTAAACATTAACATCTCTGTTAGCAATTAAGTGATGTGTTACACTGGACTCTGCAGAAAATGCTTCAGCTGTACTCCACAAAAAGGAAAATCAGCCTGTTTGGCAAACTTTGCAAATACTACTTTGCTATCAGTAAATGTTTTATTTCCACAACTATTTTATATATTTGGAGGGGTCACGTAAAAATTTCTCAGGAGGAAAGGGGTTGCAAGTGGGTAAAGTTTAATAAGCCTTGGTCTAGCAGAAAGATATATATAGTTTCTCAGGAGAAAAAGGGGTTGCGAGTGGGTAACGTTTAATAAGCCTTCATCTAGCAGAAAGATATGGATTGTTGGCTTTCAGTGTGACATGGTTATAAAGTGGACTAAAAAGGCAGAAGATATGGGATTGAATAACAGCATCTTAATTAGGAAAAGGATGTCAAACTCAAGGCCCTTCCACACAGCCATATAACCCAGAATATCAAGGCAGATAATCCACAATATCTGCTTTGAACTGGGTTATCTGAGTCCACACTGCTATATAGTGCAGTTCAATGTGGATTTTATACAGCTGTGTAAAAGGGGCTTCATTTTCATGGAGTGCCACATCAGCATTATTGTTGCGTATAGGGTCAACTATATTTTTTTTGCATAGCGATTGGTGCTCTTTAGTTTTTACGCAATTTGGGGCCTCAGATATTACTGAACGACAACGACCATCAGTTTTGGTTATATCCGCCATGTGGACTGGGGATGATAGGAATTGCAATTCAACAGCACTTGTGGCTCTGAAATTAAAGGGCATTTTGACATTAGACATAATCTCTACATGTCTTGTATCTTAGGTTTCTTCCACACAGCCATATAATATAGAATATCAAGGCAGATAATCCACAATATCTGCTTTGAACTGGATTATCCAAATCCACTCTGCTATTTGGCTGACCACATCCCCTTGTACGAACCTGCCTAGGCCCTGAGATCTTGAGGAGAGGCCCTTCTCTTGGTCCCACCTGCATCTAAAGTTCAATTGGTGGGAATGAGAGTGGGCGTTCCCAATGGCTGCTCCCTTCTTCCCAGGGAAGCCCTCCCTGCTGTCCTTCAGGCAAAAAGCTAAAACTTTTTTATTCAGGCAGGTGTCTAAGAGCTAGTCAGGGGGTGCTGTGATTTTTTACTTTTGATGGATTTTAATATAATATAACCCAGTTCAAAGTGGAGTGAGCATATTGCACCTATTCTAATGTCACTCCACTGGCTGCCCATTCGCTTCCGGGCAAGTACAAGGTGTTGGTTTTGATTTTTAACGTCCTACAAGGTTTGGGTCCAGGTTACCTTCAGGATCGCCTTCTCCCATACAATTTATCCCAAACACTTAGGTCCTCTGGGGGGGGGGGGGCATTTGCTCCAGCCTCCCAGAACCTGACTGGCGACCATCACCCAAAAGACCTTTTTGTCGACCACCCCAAGACTGTGGAATGACCTGCCAGTAGAGCTCTGACAGCTAGATCAGCTGTTGGAATTTAAAAACCATCTAAAGACACATTTCTTCTGGCAGGCCTACCCAGAGGAATTTTAACTATATATCTTAAACTCCTGGTCCTTTGTTTGATGTCTGCTTTGTGTCCTTTAATATGTATTTCACATAAATGCAATTTTAATGTGGATCTTTTAAAGAAACATATATATATATATTTGTTGAACTTTTGCAATGTTCATGTTTTTTAATTATGCTGTAACCTGCCTCGAACTGAAGGGAGAGGTGAGGAATTATTATTATGAGAAGCAGATGGCAGAAACAGAAGAACGGCCTGCCTCAGAGGAGTGTGCTTGCTCCATCAATTTTTAACATTTACACAAATGTAAATGTTTGATATTTACATAAATTTAAATGTAAATCTGAGGCCGTGGTGGCACAGCGAGTTAAACTGCTAAGCTGCAGAACTTGCTGACCAAAAGGTTGGCAGTTCAAATCCACAGAACAGGGCGAGTTCCCGTTGCTACCCCAGCTTCTGCCAACCTAGCAATGTGAAAACATGCAAATGTGAGGAGATCAATAGGGACCACTTTGGCGGGAAAGTAACAGTGCTCCATGCAGTCACGCCAGCCACATGACCCAGTGCTTCGGCCTCAATCAGTGGCCTTTTTTGTTGTGTCTTGAGAAACTGCAAGTCACTTCTGGTGTGAGAGAATTGGTCATCTGCAAAGATGTTGCCCAGGGGATGCCCGGATGTTTTGATGTGTTGCCATTCTTGTGAGAGGCTTCTTTCATGTCCCCGCATGAGGAGCTAGAGCTGATAGAGAACTCATCCGCGCTCTCCCCGGATTTGAACCTGCGACCTGTTCAGTCCTGCCGGCACAGGGGTTTAACCCACTGCGCCACTGGTGGCTGACACTGGAATTAGAAACCCTCCTGGGCACACAGAAGACTGGGTGACTTGGTCTTGGAAGGCGCTGAACAGACTGTGCTCTGGCACCACACTATGCAAAGCCAATCTTAAGAAACCGGGCTACAAAGTGGAGTCCACGACCTGCGAGTGTGGAGAAGAGCAAACTACAGACCACTTACTACAATGCATTCTCAGCGTTGCCACATGCACACTGGAGAACCTCTTTACAGTGACATCAGAGGTACTCGAAGGGGTCGGCTTCTGATCAAAGGAAATTTAGTATAATGCCAAGTTTTAAACTTTTTTGGTTTTTTTTTAAATAAATTCAGTTGTCACGATAAATAAATAAATAAATCATTTTATACAGCTGTGTGAAAGGGGCCAAAATCCAAACCCTTAACAAAACAAATAGCAGCCACCCTGATGTTCCTGTATCGCAACACCCATTAGCTCTAGTCGGGATGTCCAGTGATGAGGAATACAGGGTTTCGTGGACTAGAATCTGGAGGGCCGCATCTCGGCCTATGAGCCCACCAGGACTTTGAGATCTTCCGGGGAGGCCCTGCTCTTGATCCCACCAGCCTCACAGGCACGGCTGGCGGGGACGAGAGATAGGGCCTTCTCGGTGGTGGCTCCTCGGCTGTGGAACACCCTTCCCGTGGACATCAGACTGGCTCCCTCCCTGATGATTTTCCGCAGGAAATTAAAGACTTGGTTGTTCAAGAAGGCGTTCGAACAAGAAGTGCAATGATTGGTAATGACTATAGGAATGGAACAACGGAAATGATACTGGATTGTGGTTGGACGATGAGACGACGCGGAATGGCTTTCGTAGTAATGATGATGTTTTTTGATGATGATGTTTTTTGTTAATGCTGGATTGTGGATTATTTTATATTGTGTCTTGAATTTTGAACCTTGTTCTTTCTATGTTGTACACCGCTGTGAGTCGCCCCCGGGCTGAGAACAGCGGTATATAAGCAAAGTAAATAAATAAATAAATAAAATGACATGGAGGGCTGGACTCCGAAGGTGGGCCTTGAGTTTGACTCATGTGACTCTGGAGGAACTTGAACTTTACCCACAAAAAGCTAGGCCTCCATTCTCTTGCTCCAATCCAAAACACACCTCGCCAATCCCAAGAGGAACTCAACTAGGTCAGACCCAACTAGTTCAACAGAAGTCAGAGGGGAGCCCCTCCCCACTCGCTTGAAGGGAGACAGAGGGGGGCCTGGCCGCCCTAGAGGCGGGAAAAGGGGGGCGGGGGTCCTGGCAGGAGCCAGAGGAGGGGCGCCTGCCTCCCCCTGAGGGGGCGAACATGGCTCCGTCCACACACACAGGGACGCCTTAGCGTTGCAAAGAGGCAAAGGCGGCAGCCACTCCTCCCGCTGCTCGGGACTGAGGTGGCAAGGGAGCGAGGGCGGGGCGAGCGAGCGAGGGAGGGAAGGCAGACAGGCCGGGCCGCCTCCTTCCCTTTCCCGAGGGGACCCAAATTCACCGTCTACGTACCTCCAGGGGGGGGTGGGACGAGCCCGGGCACCCTTCCGGAAGCGAAACCCCCCAAACAGCCACGCCCCGGAAGAACATCCTGTCCCCCTTTTCCTCCCTTGATTGACGAGCGTCTCTCCCCTCCCTTCCCCCGCCGCTTCTGTGTCAGGTAGCTCCGCCCACACAGGGCGGGGCCTTTATAGGCGGGTCGCAAATCCTCTCAGAGTGCGCGCGAAGGGGGAGGCCAATCGCGCGCTTCGCCCTCACGTGACCTGAGGACATCTATAAAAGCAAGTGGCTCCGCCTCCGTCGTCCTCTTTCTTTCCGCGTTCGGGAGAAGAAGTCGCCATGGTGAGTTTTGAAATGTCGACATTTTGGGGAGGTTGGGAATCTTTTCGAAGCGCAGCCCCCTTGGTTGCCTTCCCGGAGAGTGCGGGTTCTCTAGGGTGGCGTGTCCGCCTTGGGAGGCTCCGAGGGCGGTGGATGGAGGCGGATACGCGCGGGCCTCTCTCCTGAGGCCTCCCTTGCTCATGGCGTCCATAGCTCAGTACGGTGGAATTATGGGAATTTTGTTTCTGCTAGGCCTCGAGCCTTCTCTACCAAAGAGTGCTGGCGCCTCGCCTTAGTCCAAATGTCAGGATGCCATTCGCATATTATAGTGGTATAGTACAATATAGTAATGTAGAAAGCTAATACTGTCTTATGCTAATAATATAAAATATCATATATACATATAATACTGATAAGAATATTATGTTATACAACATAATGCTAATAATACAATATAATAGTCAGTAATAGGTGTATAAGTATCTATATAAATAAAAATGTAATGTTCGTTTGTGGGATTAACAGAACTCAGAAACCACTGGACGAATTGACACCAAATTTGGACACAAGACACCTAACAACCCAATGTATGTCCACTCAAAAAAATGATTTTGTCATTTGGGAGTTGTAGTTGCTGGAATTTATAGTTCACCTAAAATCAAAGAGCATTCTGAACCCAGCCAACGATGGAATTGAACCAAACTTGGCACACAGAACTCCATGACCAACAGAAAATACTGGAAGGGTTTGGTGGGCAGTGTCCTTTGGTTTTGGAGTTGTAGTTCACCTACATCCAGAGATCACTGTGGACTCAAACAATGATGGATCTGGACCAAACTCTACACGAATACTCAATGTGCCCAAATGTGAACACTGGTGGAGTTTGGGGAAAATAGAATCTTGACATTTGGGAGTTGTAGTTGCTGGGATTTATAGTTCACCTACAATCACAGACATTCTGAACCCCACCAGTGATAGAATTGGGCCAAACCTCCCACACAGAACCCCCATGTGGGCCACAGCAACGCATGGTGGGGACAGCTAGTATAATAGTAAGTTTATAACAGTTATATTGTAATAGAATCATAGAGTTGGAAGAGACCTCATGGGCCATCCCCCTGCCAAGAAGCAGGAAAATAATATTACATATCCAGATAATTACTGATAAGGTGTAATGATACACTGTTTTATTATCGTATATTTCAAGTGGTAATTTTTGTTTGTGAGCCGCATTGAGTCTCCGTATGGAGAGATAAAGCAGGATATAAATAAATAAGCCATGGGCGTTCAAAAGGTGTAAAACTGCAGTAATCCAACAGTAGAATCATAGAGTTGGAAGAGACCTGGGCCATTCAGTCCTGCCAAGAAGCAGGAAAATTGCTTTCAAAGCACCCCCAACAGATGGCCATCCAGCCTCTGTTTAAAAGCTTCCAAAGAAGGAGCCTCCACCACACTCCGGGGCAGAGAGTTCCACTGCTGAACAGCTCTCACAGTCAGGAAGTTCTTCCTAATGTTCAGATGGAATCTCCTTTCTTGTAGTTTGAAGCCATTGCTCTGAGTCCTAGTCTCCAGGGCAGCAGAAAACAAGCTTGCTCCATACTCCCTATGACTTCCTCTCAACATACTTATACATGGCTATCAGGTCTCCTCTCAGCCTTCTCTTCTTCAGGCTAAACATGCCTAGCTCTTTAAGCTACTCATAGGGTATCCAGCGTGGGCTTGCCTTTGAGGTTCATGGAATTGTTTTGCAAGCAAAAGTGTGTGCTGGGGGGGGGGGGTGAGAAATATACATTTTGACATCATTTGAGGGAGGAGGGCAGCCAGCCAGACCCAGCTTCATTATGTGTTCTGTATTGCATTTTAGGCCCTGCTTTGAGCTGGATTATAATAGCAGTGTCGAAGTGCTCTTATTTATCTGCCGTAGATTTTAAACCTAAAGGCAAATTGCCATTTTGTAAGCCTCGGTGTGCTTTTATGGCTGAAGAGTAAGCGTGGTAAAACAAATTTCTCAATACAAAATAAATCTTTGTATTGAGTTCTTTGCCTGTACTGACAAGGTGAACTTAATGGAGTTGTCAGACCTTTGGATGATTATAAGATTAGGTGTGTTGCTACTTCTCTAAGAAAGATGCAATGATTTCTTGTTTCTGAAGATGCAAATATGGGCAGTAACTTAAGACTGCCTGTTTGGATTTTGCCTGAGGCCACATCCACACTGACCACTTAATGCAGTTTGAACTGGGTAGACAATACATTCAAAAGATTGTGGTGGAAGTGTAAGAGAGTCCTCCATGTGCTCTGGTTTGTGTCATAACTTCAGGGCCTCAAACTGGTTCCAGGATGTTCTGTGTAATTATTGAGTACAGCAAAAGCATTTGATGGGGCCTGAGGCTGCCTTAAATGATTGTAGCCTATTAATATGCTTTTTCTAGGGTGGGGGGAAATCAGCAGTAATAGACCTTGTTTTGTCACTGAACTGGCAAGGGAAATTTAGGACTACTTTAGGATTTGATATGCTTCCTTTCAGCTGCATATACGGACTAATTATATTAATATGAAAATGTACAGGCTGTTGCATTTCTATTACTGTAGACTCCAAGAGGCCTCCAGTAACATTTGAGTTAAAGGTTTAAGCATATTATAAAGCAGTCTCTTATTTGGCGTTGACTTCACAGAGTGATCTCCCATTTAAGATGAGCTTACCCTCTCCCCTGCACATGATGATAAATGATGTTGGTAGGGACATCTGAGAATATGATGAGTACCAACATCTCTGAGCAGGGGTAGGATTAGAGTGCATTATAAGAGGGCAAATAAGCGACATTGATTAATGAGAGCCACAGATCTAAAATCAGGTTAGGCATTCCACAGATAATATAGTTTCCAACAGACCTCATAACCTCTGAGGATGCCTGTATAGATGCAGGCGAAGCGTCAGGAGAGAATGCTTCTAGAACATAGCCATATAGTCCGAAAAACCTACAAGTCAGTGATTCATTAGTATTGTGCAATGATTTTTATTATTTTCCTCATCTGCGGTGATGGATATCACAAAACTTATGCACTGATTATTATTTTTCTGCATGAATGCTATGTGTGGCTCAAGACAATTATAATTTTTCTTCTGATGTGGCTCAGGGAAGCCAAAAGGTTGGACACCCCTGTTTTAAACAATACTGCTACCAGCTCAAATATGAAATGGCTTTTGCCAACCCTGTCACAGGCAAGCTGCACTGAACAGCTTATAAGTGTTCTGTAGTGTTACATGCTTTTATTCTTGTTGAAAGTTAGGATGAAACTAATACGTTGTAACCCCCCCCCCCCCCTGGTTCCAATTTGCATTGCAGATTCAGTGTGACTTGAGGCTCTTTTGTATTTCCATTCAAAACGTTTTTGGTTGCAAGATACCTCTTTATTTTGAGAAATGGTTTCTGTGTCTTAAAATGTTGTCTTTCCTTTATAGGGTGAAAACATCAAAACTACACTAGTGATAAAGGTAATTTCCCCTTTCTTTTTTAAGATGGAAAAAATGTTTGCAAATGCTGTATAGTTTGCTTAAAATTAGGAGTGGGCAGAAGTTATATCCAGATTGTCCAGTAGATTTCTGAGTGACATGCATTACTTGGAGTAAACTGGTGTATGCTTTTATGTAGAAGAAAAGCGCTCCAGTTTCTTTGCTCAAAACAAATTCCTGACCATAGGAAATGTTCAAGTTGGTGGGTGTCTTTTGGGGTTCCAGCAAAAAGGGAAGTAGGTCCTGCCAGTCTGAAATCTGCCCACTTCTGATTAAGCAGTAGCTTATGTTGTGCTGCAATGATGACCATTATTTGCTACTCTTGATCAGGAAGATGATGAGAATACAACACCACTTTCGTTTTAAACTGAGGCACAATATGTTTTTTAAAGGGATCTCCTTTCTCATTGCTTTTGAGTAGATTTTTTATCAGACATTCTTTTCTTTACAGGGCGTGACAAAGGGTTCCATGCTTGCAGAATGGGTATGTATTAGTAAGGCTGATAAGTCTGGTTCTGATGCCATCATTTCTAAAAGTAAGGGGGTGGACTAGCTAGTTAGTGAGTTTTATAAATTAAGTGCGCTGAAACTAATTTTGCCCCTTCAGTTTTGAATCTAAGAGTAAAGTGAAATATAGTATATTTATTATTATTTACTTCACTTATATACCAATTTTCTCAGCCCTCAGGCGACTCAAAGTGGTTACCAAACAGCAATATTCAATGCAAAACATTACAAAACAAATATGAGACAGTTAAAAACAGTAGCATCATCAAAAAGCTTCATATCTCTCAATCAGTTGGTAATAAAAGGATGTGTGTGATGACAGCATAGTTCATCAGATACTCTGTGATGAATACTCATGTCTTTCGCTCCTATCTGATGCATCCTTCCTAAAATTTCAATTTGTCTGACATTTTCATTTGTGATTCTCTGATATCAGTGTATTTTTAATATGCCTTTGACACTAACAAAAAAATACACAGCTCTCATTACTGAGATACAGCCATCCCTTCAAGGCAGTCTTATTTCACTGTCAGCTCTTGCTATAGGAAAGTCTTTGTAATGTTTAGGTGTACAGCTGTTTAGGTGGAACATGTACACTATTGATGTTACAAGAACTTTAATAAGTGCATTAAAATCTTCTTACAGGTCTGCTTTTTACAGCAAGACTTCTGTGTAACTTGAACACCTGCTATGCTACAGATTGCAAAATGTCTATAAACAGGTACTACTGATTCATTTTTGATGACCAAAAATGTGTTACAAAGAAAGTTAAATGTGGTGATGTTGGAACAGCTTGTATTAGATGTGTGCAATTGTTTTCATTAACTGAATTGATCTTGTTTGTAAAGAAGTAGATATTTTACTCAGGCGCTGAATGTCAAAACCCTTCTCTCACTATGTGTTCTTCATCCACCATTGTCATATTGTACTTTTTGTGACTTAAATGACAACTGTGCAGAAAAAAATACTTTTCCTTCCCCCTCAACTTGACATTCTTTTAACCAAGTTTTTTTACAAATTTCTAAGAAAATACATAGGGGACATTTAGCTTCTGTGAACAGTGTGGTGTGTGTGTGTATACATATATATATACACCCACACATACATACACTTTTAATGGAAATACTGTGGTGTTAAAAGGACAGGTTGATCTGCTGTACATGATGGTGAATCAGGTCACTGATCTTAGTGAGGATAATAAATCAACTGATACAGCAGATCATGGTAGTATTTTTTTATAAAGCTGAAACTAATATTTTTTTTAAAAAGCGGAAACTCTGTAATAAGGTTTCTCTTTTTGCAGATCTACATGACTCATTTGGATGGGTGAACCATGAAGCAAAGAAAGGTGAGCTTAAATTACAAAAGTTTACCTAGTCAATTCAAGTTACCTTACTAAGCAAAATGGTGAAAACTTTTTGGAACTGTTCTTTATTTTATCAAGTGGTGTTTTAATATCAAGAGTAAAATCTATGGTAGAGCCTCGCTCATCCAATGTTCTGTATTATCCAACGCAGTCTGCCTCCCCCTGGATTCACAGCTGTTTAAATCCATTGTGATGTTTTGGTGCTAAATTTGTAAATACAGTAAAAATACAGACCTCATCTCTGAGGATGCTTGCCATAGATGCAGGCGAAACGTCAGGAGAAATGCCTCTAGAACATGGCCATATAGCCCGGAAAAAAACCCACAAAACTGAGTAAAAAAACAGTTTGGGAACCACTGCCCTAGGCCTCAGGGAATTGAACAGGTTTCTTTCATTTTCTGAAAGTGATTCAGAAAATGCAACAATGTTGTTCATTCTGTATTTTTTTACTTAGTATTTAATGCAACTGATGGTGCATGAGACATGATGGATCTGTGTCTTTCTGGCTGCAATTCCAACTCACAGTCACAGAGTGGGCAGCCGGGAAGGCACAACTCCATTGTGTCTCATCCACCAGCCCTGGAATTGATGGAACAACAAGTGGTTCTAAAGTCGCAAAGCTAGCAACCCAAATAACACTGCTGTAAAATTTAATTGCTAAAATACCAAAGCCAACATATTATCCGAATTTAAGCTATTCAGCCAGAAATGGAAAAAAATAGCGCAGAATAATATATTTTGACAAATAGGAGCCTCTGGTGGCGCAGTGGGTTAAAACACTGAGCTGCTGAGCTTGTTGATCGAAAAGTCGCAGGTTCGATTCCGGGGAGCGGCATGAGCTTCCGCTGTCAGCCCTAGCTTCTGCCAACCTAGCAGTTCGAAAACATGCAAATGTGAATAGATCAATAGGTACCGCTCTGGCGGGAAGGTAACGGCGCTCCATGCAGTCATGCCGGCCACATGACCTTGGAGGTGTCTACGGACAACGCTGGCTCTTCAGCTTAGAAATGGAGATGAGCACCACACCCCAGAGTCAGACATGACTGGACTGTATGTCAGGGGACTACCTTTACCTTTTAGCGTTGCAGAAAGTCCAAAGGAGTGGATTGACAATAAATTGGATAAAGGAATTTAATGCAAGCAGGTAATGTGATGAGATGCCATTAGAACTGACTTAAATAATGGAGGTTTTAATTAGCTCTAGCTGATTGCAAAGATATGCTTGCATTTTTGCATATTATTATAGCTAGTTTTCTCTAGGCTATCCTTACAATCTTCCTTTTTCTCCAGATCTAGAATCAACTTTGAAACACTGTATTCAGAACTACTTTTAATGGTAAGTCATTACAGAGATTGGCCTCAGTAAAACGTATTTCCTAGAGATACTATAATAGTGATATTCTGACAAAATAAAGTTACATAGACGATTGTGAATGGCCAGCAATTCCCAGCAAGATTTTAACTGATCAAGGCAATTGATATAAGATTAAAATCAGATTTTAAAATCAGACATATAAATGAAAGGAACTGAATGGAGAGAGAATGCAGAAGTTTGTCTGACATGATCTTAACCATCTTGAGTCCCTTGGGGAGATAGGTGTGGGATATAAAGTTTTTTAGTATCTATAATTTGTCTAGCAATGTAGCAATGAAGTATTTCTTTGTTTCTTGCTGAAGTTCATTTAGCTTGCGTATCTACTTCTGCCATTTCTGCTCTAGAAATACTTTACTCGCAACATAGAAGTCTTTAAACAATACAGTGATAATTTCGTGGATTGTGTAACTGTCACTTTGGATGAACTTCATTTGCAGCATTAGAATCAATTCAGCAGGGTTTAAAATGATGATTAAATGTCTGACCTGAAGTCACATGTGGATTCATTGCACTGAAAACCCTGTACAGGCCTGGGGTTTTTACACAGTGAATAGCTTGCTTATCGATGTGGATATGAAATGAGTAACGGAGGTCTTTAATTCTCACTTAGGTCCAGACTGGAACTGCCAAGCTGGGTAAGAGCCTATTTTTGACTTTTGTCTCACAAGAGTGACTTGTCCATTGCTTACTACGACTTGTAACCAATGATGAAATTGAATTCCGCCATATGAATCCTTGTGAAATTAACACAATTCCGTTCCATTTACTGAGGTTACCTTGCTTAGCTGTCACTACAGTTAGGATAGGGAATAGTGATTTGCTTTCTAAGTCATCACTTGCTATTATGGAAGTATGCTGGAGTGTGAATAATTCTGTAATATCAATTTAAGGGAAGGCAACTGGTATCTAATCCATTTAAGTTTGAGCCTCCTTGTGGAAAGAAAAAGTGAGATATAAATAAACATAATAATTAACTAACATCTGCTTTTTTAAATGTAAACGTAAACCGGTTCTTGGTAGGAAATGTGTTGCCTATCCAGTTTTGAAGTATCTGTTTATGCTGCTTGAATTTTTAAAAAAGAACTTATGTTGCATTTCTATAACATCTTTTTCTCTCTTTAAATTACTAATAGGCAACAAGTCTCTCGTGTTGATTAATCTGTTGAAAGGTTAGTAAGATATGCAATCCTGCATATTTTCTGTCATGTTGGGGAGCCTCTAGACCAGTGATATTTTTGTTTGTTACCTTTGTGGACTTGCTTCAGAAAATGAGGACGAAAAATGCTGAATTAAATGTAGAAACTAGAGCACATACTTTGGAAGAACTTCCTAGTTTACATGGTTGGTGATTGCTAGAACCTACTGGCATTTAAAGTACGTTGTATTGCAATAGGTTCATCAGTCAATAGCCCCACCCTGCCTGCAATAAAATACCCCAGAAAAAAAGCCAATGATGTTTTTAAGAGTAGTGGACAGAAGAGATTTCTGACATATATTGCCTGAGGCTTTTGTAAAAAAAATTAATGGTGCCTATAGTTGGGCAGAGAACTGTTGGTGACTCTGTAGGGACATGCTCTAGTATCATGACTGATTGAATCCATCATTGCTTTTAATGTAAGCTGCATTGAGTCTCCTTGTGGAGAAAAAACCAGGGTATAAATCAACATAATAAAATAATAATGGAATATACTAACAACGTCCTTGCAGATGGCCAATTCTCTCACACCAGAAGCGACTTGCAGTTTCTCAAGTCGCTCCTGACACAACAAAAAAAAATGTGCTAAATATAGAAATTGCCATAAAACTCAAGGCAATTGTGCCATCATGCACATACCCACTCAGAAGGCTGCTGCGAGTATAGATAAGAATTCAAAATTTTGGTTGGATGATATATTAATTAGGGCCTTTTTTCGTTTTAGTGGAAACTAATTGAGAGAAGCTGGTCTTCCCTTCCAAATTAGGTGAGTGGATCTCCAAATAAAATCCAGACACTTTGTGCTATATGCTATATTTCTTTAATTCAAAGATGCAGGGTGGGTTTTTTTCCAGCTAAACATATCTGAAAATGGATGCATTTTATTATTGCAGATGTACTTCATTATTAGTAGTACTGAAATTAGAGTGTTGTACATTTGAAGAAATATGTTATTTTTGGGTTGCTGCTTCCCAGAATGCCAGTGCAGCAATTTACCCATATTAATCACAAAAAGAAACAAAGGAACCCTGCAGTTTCATAGACTGGAGATTGCATCTGCGTTTTGTTTGTGTTGACTAAGACTTGGAACCTAGCACAGGCACGAAACATATGTGAAAAGTATTTTACTTGTACTGTTAATGATGATATTGTATAAATCAATGGGAATCTCTCTGAAAGTTAATGATGAAAGAATTATACTGAAACAGTACCAAGAAGATATTGCCTCATAATGTATTTTGTTCTTGTCAGCACACATTTATGTGTTGTACTTTATTACAGGTTATATGAACAAATTCTCGGGAAGAAATATCTGTGAGGGCTCTTTAGGTATGTACAACATACTTTGGTTTAAAATGTTGGCTCTATTTACATTTTTCAAACTTGGCAGTTGCATACTACTTAGGACTTCTGGATATATAGATGAATCAATCCTCAGCTTTTTATTTTCCTAACCAGAGCTTTAAAACGGTTAGAATTGTAAGAATCCAAGCAGATACAATGATGATCACATAGTTCAGCAGATGGAACAGTGCTGATCTGTCTTTCGCTCCTATCTGATGTATCTGGCTTTAAAATTGTATGTTAGTGTGGCCATTCAGATATTGAATGATGATTTCCGGCATCACTGTGACTCAATCTGATAAAACAGGAGTCTTATAATCATCTGGGAGCCTGTAGTTCCGTAATGTACATAGAACTCTATATGAATGCTGGCAAAAATCTCCAATCTGAGCAATAAATTACAAATTCTTCTGAATAAATGGCGATTTGATATACTGCATATTAATGCAACTCTCTCAACTCGTAGGTGGTTAAATCTTGGAAGTGGCAGTTGATTTTGAAGGGTAAGTTTATTTCTGTATATCACATCCTACTTTGTCTTTCTGGGAATAGAGTAATGATGATAACCTAGCCTTGAACTCTCTCTCTGACTGCATGATGGAAAATCCAAGGTCTGATCTATTCATCTTAGAAGACTTATTTGCATCTCTGAACAGGACACACTGGCTTAAGTCTTCTTTTCTCCTATCCTAGATGGTGACCTTGCAGCCTTGCTGGAAGAATAAGGAAAGAAGAGCAGGATATGACATCTATGAAAGGAGAATGGTTCTGTAAATGTTGCTGTAGCGGGATTGCTACTCTATGTTAAAGTTTTGGTGTATAGCTCTATGTTTACATATGGCATATAGGGAAGAATACGATCTGACAGGGTAGCAACAGCACAAATAGGATTCATTTGCATATGTGAAGCCGATTGGTCATATGCAGATTAGTGTAGCCCCAGGATTTGAAAAGGCTGCTAGGCCAAAATGACAGTTGGGGAGAGCAGAGCTGAACATTCCAAAGGGGCGGAGCCAGGGTTCTAAAAGGTAGTTAGAGTGAGGGAGTTTGAAAAAAAATGACAGGAATCTGTGTGTGAAGAGGAGAGTTGGTTTTTGAGTGTCTGATAGAAATAAGCAGTTATGAAGATGTGTTAAAGACTTCTGATATAGAGAAGCAGTTAGTTAAATAGAGCTCGAGTTTTAAGGAACATAACAAAGACTAGTGTTGTCTTAGTTCAGAATATAATTCAGCCAAGAGTGTGTAAAGCAAGTAACATGTTTGTGAATATGAAACATTGATAGTTTATTCAGAAGTTAACCAAGTAAATGATACTGACTGTAAGCCTCAAGATTGCAACAAAATACAAATGTAACCACAAGCGTTGGAGCCAGAAGTTATAAATAAACTGTGTTCCTTTGTTATACACAAGAGTGTTTCATTGCCTGTGATATAAAGTACAATGGTTTAACAGCACACAAAAAGTCCCAGCCAATATAAAAGAAGAAACTGAATCAGTATAAGGCAGCATAGAGGTTTTTAAAAGAGGAAATAGTCTCTCTCCCTTGCCTCAGTTGCCTTCTATTTACTGGCTCTTAAAATATATGGAAGCGCCTGTAATGAAGATGCTGTTCTAATGTATATGATCATTTTGGCATGGGGAAAGAATTTGCCCATAACAGCTGTCCACCCCTATAGTAGTGAAATATAGGGCCAGGCATTCGGATAGCAGGCTGACAATAGAAATCACGATAGTGCTATGGAAAAAGGACAATGGACAGGCTTCTGACTTGACATGGCAACTAATTCAATTTGTACTATTTTAAATGGTTTTTAATCTAATTTTAATGTTTTAACTTATGTAATTGTTGCTTATTTGTTGTATATGTGGGACATTGAATTGTTGCTGGCTGTAAGCTGCATTGAGTTCCCCTTCGGGGGTAGAGGTCAGGGTAGAAATATTTTAAATAAATATAAAAAGCAAGCAGTATTCTGTTACGTTTTTTCTGGCCTCTGCAGCCACAAGTCAACTTCTAGCCACATTATATTGTCAATGCAGAAGTGCTCTAAGACTCCAAATCTCTTTCATATAGACTATTTTCAAGTCAGGTGTCACCAATCCTATATCTGCATATCATTTTTATTACTTAAATATTGTACCGTATATTTCTCCCTGATTAAATTCATTTTGTCAATTTTGGCCCAGCTTTGTAATCTGTTATGGTCATTTTGGATCCTGATCGTGTTCTCTGGGATAGTAACCATACCTCCTAATTTAGCTGCTTTGTGAGAATGTTATGGGGAACCTTGTCTGAAATTGAGATATGCTACATCCACAGCAATCTTTCATCAAGCTTGTAACTTTTTCAGACAAAACAAGAGAAATAAGATTCATCTCCCATGACTTGTTTTTGTATGCACCCATATTGGCTTTTTGTATGGCATTACTTTCTAAGTGCTTACAGATTGTCTCTTGAAAGATCTGCTCCAGAAGCTAGTATGTCAGACTGACAGGGCAGAAGTGGTTAGGGTCGTCCCCCCCCCCTTTTTTTTTTTTAAGAAGGGGGCATTTGCCTTCTAGTCTGCTGGAACTGGAACTTCTGCTCTTCAGAAAAATTCAGAGAATTGCCTGTGGTTGTGAAATTACTTCTGCATGTTCTTTCAATATACTTGGATGCAGTTCATCTTTCTAGCCCTTCTCCCCAAATTTCTAAATATTGGCAATGGTAGCTAAGTATCATGGGAAAAGCAAGCCAAAAACATCTGAATATTCAGTTGCTTATGGCTGAAGTGATTGAACACAGGAATAAATTGATAAAGTACTTATTAGAAATGGTAGACAGTTGTATTGTATTTTTAAGTGCTGGTCTAGCACTGTCAATATCCTAGTCAAACCTTCACTCGGCCTTAGAAACTCACTGCATGGACTTGGGAAACTCATACTACTATCCTCAGAAGAAAATTGCAACTCTGAATAAATCTTGCCGAGAAGAAAGACATTTGCCTTATACATTCACATTTGAGTCATAAGTCAGAACTGACTTGGATAGCTCCCCAAGCCAAAGACTGCAGCGGCAGAACTAATTTACTGATGGGACAATGCAAGTATGAGTGTAAATGCAGACCACAACTTAAAATGACTTCCGGTGTCACTTCAAGCCTCTTTTTACTTGGCCTTGATGGAAGTTTAGAGGATAAACTACAGTTGCAAGCCAATGATATTTGTACTCATGATTTATTAAAACAAGGCATTTTTTTTACAAAAAGTATAAAAAATGATATTACGTCTAACAAAATCTCTTCAAATCCTAATGTTATTTCCACTGATAAACAAGAGACCATAGTAGGAATAGAATTGGTAGTCCAGGCAACTACTTGTGATGCTTTTCATTTGTCTCAAGTTTTAATTTATCATAGGCAACATAGTTTAGGCTTTAATCATGATCATCCAGTAAAGCAAACGTCAGTTCAATTCTTGGAAGACTCCATATATATACACGATTTAGTTTCTACAACAGATTGCAACTTTATGCAAACCAATGTTTTTGAGAAAATACATTTCTTCCTTCTTTAGGGAGTGATGGGTAGGAGGGGAGAGCACAGTTAATCAAAGAAGGTGCATTAGTGGTCTAGTAATAAATAGGATAAATCCATCTTTCCACCAGTTATAGATATCCACTAGGCTATTGTCATTCCTGAGCTTGAGTTGAAGGCCATGTAACCTGAATATGGTACGGCTTAAGTTCCTCTGGACTAACGTGATCTGGAGCATTGCTCATCAAGTCTCTTCCCTTGAAGGATTTGGGGAAAGCAATAACATCTCGAATACTTCCAGCTCCAACTATGAGGCAGATCAGTCTATCAAGCCCTGGAAGAAAAAGACATTAAATATTGGCTATTGGGGAAACAAAACAAAATGAAAGGCACTTTGTGATAACACAAAACATATCAGTATTGCTATATTGGAACCTCAATTTAAGCGTTCCAACTTTCGGCATTGTAACAAATTCATTGTGGATTTGCCATATTCGAAAGCATGTCAGCCAAGAACAGATGACTACATTGTATGAAGAATAAAATCAGTAATGTGAATTGTTGAAATATTTCTATAAGAGAGCTGCATATTGTGTGATATGTTAAATCAAAATGACTTGAATATTTCTTTGCAAGGTAATGCTGTGACAAAAATACAAACATTTTTAAAAGCCATCTATTTTCAAAACATTTTTTCAAATGGAAATTTCAAATAATCATTTTCTCCATTTAGTACAGGTTATTCATAATCAGGATGATATATGTGAATCATCTGAAGACTATACAGCTACTATAGACCTATTTATTGGTGAATATGAAAGGTTTACTGACTTTGAGAATGACTCAACATTTTAGTCATTCTTTGATACTAAGAAAGATCCAAATGAAATAGGGAAAAAGTATATAGTAGGTCTTTTTTTTTACAAAAGTATGTACATTTTAAAGTATTTAATTAAGTTTCTGTAATGTGGCCTTATTTGATTACAGATGAATTCATGCAGCCTTCCAAAATGAAAAGTTTCCCCAGCTCTGCTCTAGCACATACTAAGTACTTTCATATGTAATATAACATCATTTGCTTTCCAGCTCCAAAGACTCGAGTAGACTCCTCTTTTGCTCCATTATTTTTTTTTTATGAACCCAGCATCTCATTCTAATACCAAAATAGTTGCAACATATGTTTGTAGAAGGCTGATTTTTAAAGCAAAGTTGGCACTTTATCAAAATACAGGAAATAGCTCATTTAATTGAATGTCCAGTTAAAAAGCACATACTAACCTAATGCAATTCCACCATGAGGCGGTGCTCCACTATCTAGAGCTTCAAGAAGATGAGCAAGCGGTTTTGTGTCCTCCTGGAACAGAGGTGCAATGTTAAGAACTACTGTAGCATACAGCCTAGAAACTAAAATAACTACAATCACATACTATGTGGTTGAGGGCCCAGCAGCATATATGAAATATTAATGTCAGTGGGCAGCCAAGAATGTTTGATAAAAACATTCCATTACCTTCAACACTTTCTCAAGGATGAAGCATTGCTGCTTTGCATTGTGAATTCGAATGGAGCCACCTCCAATCTCACTACCATTTAGGACTAAATCATAGTGCTGACCACGCACCTGGGGAAAAGAGAAAGGGTTATCACTTCATGGATGTAGACTTCAAGGAGTATAATATACATTGTATGAGTCCTGAAAGTAGTGGGAGTTAGACATCTTAAGATAAAACAGAAACTCTTGGGGCTCTTTGGTGGTGCCATCTCATTGATTTTCCTTTCTCACACTTCGGCCATCACAATGCAATTTTCTATTAAGTCTAAATGATGTAGCAAAGTGACAGAAAAAATATAAACAAAGTTAATTTTTATTGATTTATAATATGGAGAGATGCATGCACATACTTATTTTTTCCACTAGAACCAATGGTCCATTGTGGTTAAGCACACAGTTAAATAAAATACATATAAATACAGTACATAGCTGCCACATATCTTTCATCCTTCAACACCTTTGTGTGCACAACTTGCACCTCTTCTGGTAGCATTTGAGTTTCACGGGATCAGAATTCCAGAGTTGAAAGAGACCACATGGTCCATCCAGTCCAACTCCATTCTGCCATACAGGAAAAGCACAATCAAAGCACTCCTGACAGATCGCCAATTGGCTTCTCTGAAGCAGTGAGTTTCTCTATTGAACTATCAGACAGGATAGTTCTTTCTCATGTTCAAATGGAATAGCCTTCCCTGTCATTTGAACCCATTGCTCTAAGTCCTAATTTTCCATCTGTCTTCCTCTTTTTCGCAGTAGTGGTCTTAATAGCAAACTCCAGAGGATTGAGCTGATGGTGGAGGACGTATCATTTGACTCCTTGGGGCATAGTTATGGGATTCTGTGGGGTTGCATTACAGTAGTAATATGAAAGATGGGGCATGGGAGTGATACTGTGCCGCTTGTTGTTCATTCGTTCAGTCGTCTCCGACTCTTCGTGACCTCATGGACCAGCCCACGCCAGAGCTCCCTGTCAGCCATCACCACCTCCAGCTCCTTCAAGGTCAGTCCAGTCACTTCAATGATGCCATCTATCCATCTTGCCCTTGGTTGGCCCCTCTTCCTTTTACCTTCCACTTTCCCCAGCATAATTGTCTTCTCTAGGCTTTGCTGTCTCCTCATGATGTGGCCAAAGTACTTCAACTTTGTCTCTAGTATCCTTCCACCGCAAAGCCCATTCTGTTTATTCTTGGCTACTGAAACTGAGGGACATCCTGATACGAATGAGAAATTGGCACAGGCCAAAGACTCTATGGTTTGAGTGTTGGGCTGGGACACTGGGAAGCCAGAATTTGGATCCCTGCTTGGTTTTGGAAGGCTACTAGGTTGCCTTGGACATGTCACACTCTCAGCCTCAGAGGAAAGCAACAGTAAACCCCCTCTGAACAAATTCTGCCAAGAAAACCATGTGATAGGTTTGCCTTCTGGCAAATGACATGAAAGCACAAGGTAAGAGTCCAGCAAGAGCAGCTCCGGCTTTCTTTTTCTCTAACCCTGCCTACTTTTGTATATGCAAAGTTTTGCTAGAAAATAAAGGTACAAAATCACCTTTGAAGGCTCTGTGTAGAGAAGATGTTCATCACAGGGGTGAGGGGCAGTGAAAGGATGGTGAGCAGACTCAAGTTCTGAAGGGCTATCTTCTTTCGGGAGAAAAAGGGGGAAATCTACAACCCACAAAAAGTGAAAGGCAGAAGGTTTCCGGAGTGGCAGGCCTCTCGCTTCCAGCAGATCAGCAATCTCCAGCCGCACTTTCCCTAATGTCAAGCACTGAAAACACAGGAGAGACTGTGATAATTCATGAATAAGACAAATTTTTAAAAAATTCCAGCACTTCAGATCCAATAAATATTTTTATTAATTTATTTTACCACTCTGTCCAAATTAGGGGGGGTGTTTGATGACAATGTATTTACCAGCGTCCAAAGTTCCCCTTTTTTTGGCGAAAAATTGAGGTGTGCCAGAAAGGAAGGTGGAAGGCGAAGAGGCTATTCCCGGTGTCATTGGCCTCCATGCTCTGAGGTGTCCAGGAAAGGAGGAACACCAGGCTGGTGACCCAGTCACTCCTCCCAATTAGATGTAGATACTACCTCCTGCGTGGGCTTTGGTGGCTCTCGCCTGTCCCCTTCAAGGCTAAGTCCCATATGGCTCCCAACATGCCTCATGCAAAAGGCCTTCAAAACCTCCCCCTCAGTTTTGAAGGCATTGTGAATGAGACCAATTTGGAATTTTGGCAATATAATTTAGCGAGTTCCCTGACCCAACCTCCACCTGATGGTGGGGCACGACTTCCAAAATGGCCTCATTTATGTTTCCTGTCTCCTGATATGCTTTGCCTACACTGTTGTGCACTTTATGTTCAAGGGTCAATCCATGTATTTTGTAATATGCACAATTTAAGATGCATGTTACTGTAATATGCACAATTTAAGATGCATGTTACATTTGATGGTGCACTGTACTCAAGGAAATACAGTATTCTGATTTTATTTATTGGTTTGATGATATACATTGCTGTGGATATAATGATTAAAGTGTTTGGAAAAGCTGATTGCTGACTCAAACAGAGCACAGCTAGCTCCAAGATATAAAAGTGCAGCTTAAGAGAAGAAATAAGGTTTTTATGAATTCACTCATGTATAAAAGCATGTGAAAATTACAAGTCAATGTGTTTGCCTTTAAGCTCATGCCGTGAAAGCAGAAAACACATTTCCATTTTGCTTTTCAACACTGGACTGGCTTTGAAATGGTCAAATACTGCTAACATTGAACAATCTATTTTGGATTTCCAAAAAGCAAATGAGAATCTCACCCAATCCTTACATTTTATCCGGCCTTTTGTCCAGTAAACTCAAGGTGATATAGAACTGACTTGATCCTCTCAACACTGTTAATTCAGTTCAAGAGTGAGTATCTGGCCCTGTAAATGTGAAAGGCTCAGTGGAGAGCTGACTTGGGACTCTTTGAGATCAACACCCATATCTGGGTTGTTGTAGGTTTTTTCGGGCTATATGGCCATGGTCTAGA